GAATTTTCCTAAGTAATTATAAAGACCCATGACCCTTTGAAGCGACTTTTTATCCTCTGGCCTTTTAAAGGTAATCAATTTATCAATCTTATTTGGCTCTGGATCAATTCCATTTTGTGATATCAAATGGCCCAAGAAACGAACTTTCGTTAGACATATTTGAGCCTTTGTTAAATCAAATTTGATATTTTTTTCTTTTGCTTTTTCTAGAATTCCCTTTAATTTTTTATTGTGCTCTTGAATGGTATCCGCATATATCAGCAAATCGTCTACATATGTAATATTTTGAAAGCTATCCCTAAAGATATTCGTCATTTTCTCAACAAAAATTTGTGCCAATATTTTCAAACCAAATGGCAATCGGTTATATCTGAATTTTCCAAATGCCGTGGTCATCACCAACAGATCTCTGCATTCCTTTGCAACCGGAATATGCCAATAGGCTGATTTCACGTCTAACACGGTATAATACTTAGATTTGGGTATCTCGTGCAATAGTTCAGCTGGAGCCGGAGTCTGGAAATGTCTTCCCACAAGGGCCTCATTTAATTTACGAGGATCCAGGCATATTCTGATTTGACCAGATTTTTTTTTTACAACGACCATAGGATGAGACCACTCTGTTTCATGATATATTTTTGTTACGATTCCTTGCTTCACCATTTTTTCCAATTCAGACTGAACTTCGGCTCCGAGGCTTGTTGGGATGCGCCTGGGAGGGACTTGCACAGGCGAATATTCAGGCTTTGTGTAAATCTTACATTCCGAGTTGATTAATCCTACTCCTTGAAATACTTCGTGGTATTGTTCGAGGATTTTTTGAGTTTCAGAACACAATTTCATTTCATCCATGTTTATATGATTAATTCGCCTCAATATTTCAAGCTTCTCGCAAGTATCGCCCGTGATAAGAGTCTGCGCCTCTACATCGGCTACGATAAATTCGAACATTCCTTTCTTTTCACCATATTGGCATAGCACATTGCATTTGCCAACGATAGGCAATTCTGTATTTCCATATGCGAACGCCTTTAATGACGTGGGTCTAATTTCTGGTCTTGATGGCCATTGGTTTATTACTTTATGAGGAAGCACATTTATCTGTGCGCCAGTGTCCAAATGTACCGTGGTCTTCTTCCCATTAATGATTAATACCGCGGACCACTTGTCCGACCCAACAGTCTTTACAGCAACTTCATTTAGATTTATCTCGTCACAGGATTCTTCAGCTTCACTTTCCGCTAAGAGATTTCTTATACGTTTTGCTCGGCAAACTACTGCGAAATGATTGGTTTTTCCGCATGCATTACATTTCTTCCCATATGCTGGACACTTTCCATACTTGTGTCGTTGTCCACACCGCTTACCTGGTTCTATTATTCTTTCTCTTCTCTGGTTTATACCGCTTGATCCTGCTTCTGCATTTTCCATTCGAATTCTATCTTTCACCCAATTACGTTTTTCAATTTTTTCAATCATTTTTTTCTCATTCAACGATGCTACTTGTGAGCATGTTGACTCGGAGATCATAGCTATCGAAATTGCCCTTGGTACTGTCAACTGTGGATCTTCTAACAACTTTCTTTTCACTTCTCGGTCAAGTATTCCAATTATAAGGCGATCCCTTATGAGAGATTCTGTTAAATTCTCGAATTCACATTCTTGTGCCAGATGCTTTAATTCTGTGACAAATTCCATGACTCCTTGCCTTTCTTTTTGTACACAGGTAAAAAATGCATTTCTCCTTTGAATCGTATTTTTGAAGGGCTTAAAATGGTTCGTTAACATATCAAGCATTTCCTTTACATTTGGGTAAGTATCATTTTCACTTATGTGAAATGTCTTGTATATCATCACTGTTTTCTCACCAGCAATATGCTTCAAAATTGCTCGCTGACGCACCAGCGGCATGCTTTCTAAATTTACCGCTATTGCAAAAATTTTAAACGACTCTCTCCAGGTCTCCCATTTTTTCTCGTTGCTGTACGGGACAAATTCTGCCGGCGGCTTGATTCCTTCCATTCTACTCACTGTTGAATTAATCTGTTTTAATTCGATACTTTTGTCGGCTGCGCCGTATTCAACTTGTAAAAAAAAAAAAAAGTTTTGTTCAGATAACTCATACACATTACAACAGTGTTGTGACTTTGTTACCGACCCGAGGCCGCTAGTTTGCGGCGACGGTCAATAGATGGCGTCTGGTTTTGAGGTCTATTTTGACGGGAGAGGCGACCTTTGTCTCTTTAGATCTATAGAGATATATATCGTCACATATGTAAATAGATATGTTCCATGAATGATTGATACATACCTGGGTCGGTTCAGCTGGAAGAATGGAGGGTGGAGGATGCCGATGGGTATAATTATGCCTTGAAACATCATTACAATTTAGCTATTCTAATAAAGCTTTTACATCAATACTTTCAAATTGTTCCAACACTTCATTAGATACCGTTCAAAAAGAGCAATTTATTTTATGATAATTGCAACAATTTATAATATGTGAAATATAGATTTGCGAGCGTAGGGTCATCTTAAGACGCGAATGTTTCTGATCACAAACAAATCAAACTTCTACTGTCCTTACTGCGATGAAAAAATATTTAAATGTATTTCTACTGTCCTAAAAGCTCATGCCCATAGTTTACTTAAATACCATTTCTAAGATTCCACCCTTCAGTGTAGCATATAAAAGCAGAATGATCCAATGCAGTATTAGAGCTCTAAAGAAGGGGTTTGGTAGATTAGATTAGCGAAACCGCTGGGAGGGTTCACCACTGAGCTCCTTGAAAGAAATGAAGGCTAAAAATTCATTCCAAAAGACGTGGTTTGCTGAGCAAAGGTGTTTGCCACGAAGCTAAGATTAAAAACAACCTCTTCTGCTGAATATACTTCATTTTTGTAATGTTTTTAACAAAAAAACGCGATGCCTTTTCACGCCTGCAAGCGAGAGCAGTTTTTTCTCTTTATTATCATGAAAATTCTTAACTATATTCACATGTTTTTATTTTATAACTATTTTACATATTTACATGAGGGTTATTCACATATTAAACAAAATGTTAACGCGAGATATTCAATCCCAGTTCACGACTGTCTGAAATCGAGGGTGTTACCCACTCATCTACCGACTTATACTTTCAGATATAAGAAATTTGTGATTTACTTTTAATACAAATATTCGTAAAACCATACGCAATATTAAGAAAAGGGCATCTCTTTATCGTGCAACTGAAAGTTGCATTGCAAGCCATCAGAAACTTTCAGTTGCATGATAAGGAGATGCCTTTTTCTTAATCTTATCCCAGTGCAATATCACATTTGTACTATTTTTTCACACATACGCAATATGTTTATTTATTACAAAAACACCGCGTAAGTAATAAAGAAATATATTGCGCATGGTTTTTCGAATATTTTTACACAAATACTTCTTGGGAGGTGTGTCTCAGTATACTAGCCCCCTAGTTTACTAACCCATATCGAAACCTAACCTAACCTGAACTATCCTAACCTAACCACATGGCTTGTAGAAATTTACGCTAGAGTTAATAAACCAGGTAGAGAGCTAGACCCAAGAATTCATTCTTTTGAAAATAGAGCGTAATTTAGAATATATGTAATTTTAATTTTTGTTGGGAAAAATTACAGTAGAACCTCCATTTAGCGGACAACCCGCTAGCGGATACCTCTCCTCAAAGGACAGTTTTCATAAAAAAAACTACCATTTTCACAATTTAGCAACTCTCTGGTAAGAGGACACCTTTCCCTAAAGAATACTTTGACTCTGCAATTAAGAAGCGCATTGCCAGTAAATATATATGTGTAAAATTTTAACGATAGATGGCAATGAAATTTAATTTACTAATATATATTGGTTATGAAAACATATATTGCGGAAGAGCTTTGCTCGATGCAATACCTTGAAATTATATGTATGTTTCTCTACAGACCTATAAGCTTATGTCCATAGTTCACTAAACACCCCTAAGCTGCCTTTCATAGAAAATACAGAGTATATTCCAAACCAATCCAATAGTAGAGCGGTCTAGAGATTAATTTGGCGAAACCGCTGAGAGGGTTCACTACTGATGAGCCAAGCCCTCTCATTCAATAACTCATATCATTGCAGTAAGGTCTGTAGAGATAATATTTGATGATATTTAAAAGAAGCGCATTGCCAGTAAATTTATATGTGTAAAATTCATTAATGATGACACATTTATCTTTGTAAAATATTGAATTAGTATCTAAAATATAGTATATTATATAAACGACATTTGAAATTATCCCACATGTGTTTCATTTGAACGAAAAATCGAAATTCATTTAAAGGAGATATAGCGATTATTTCTAACCTTAGGGATGAAGTATGAAAGGATGAATTGTGAAGAGTAATGATAAACGGAAAAATAAAAGTGTCCAGGGATTACTTTATATAATACTAGACGAATGACCCGGGCAACGCCCAGGTTTACACGATTAAATGTATTTTACATATGGAAGATGGACGTAGTTCCCGGAGGTCACCCGCGAGGCTTTTTTGGCACTTGGCACAGCTGTGTCACCAACTCTGCCCCCGCGCGCCAGGACCGCGCGCGGTGGAAACTTGTACTGGCCAACCGGCCGGCAGCCGGGCGATTACATTTTCTCGAAGGGGGGGGCAGGGGGCAGGGAAGTCACGTGCTCGCCGGCAGCCAACGGGCGCGCGCCGCCGTCAGATCGCCCGCGTTCTAGAGGGCGCTGCTCGTGAGCTAAGTAGAATAATTCGAATATACATAATTGATAATATATGATAATTGATAACATAATAATTGATTTATATATTTTTTAAAATAGCCTATCGTCATCCCCGTTATTTTTTACCTATGCATGGAAATTTTGGTTTGAATTAGTGAACTACTGCGAATTTGTATACAGGTCATACAAACCAACAGACCAACAGACAAACATACAAACATTCATTTATATATATATAGATTTACGAACGGAGAAATATGTCCAGGGTAGCCTAGTGGACATGGATCTGCCCGGTAAGCGGAACATTGTGGGTTCGATTCCCATCCCTGGACACTTTTATTTTTCCGTTTATCATTACTCTTCACAATTCATCCTTTCATACTTCATCCCTAAGGTTAGAAATAATCGTTATTTCTCCTTTAAATGAATTTCGACTTTTCGTTCAAAAGAAACACATGAGGGATAATTTCAAATGTCGTTCTACAATTATAAGCCGCATTATATTGTATTATGGTATATTATACTTTACAATTTTGAGAATAAAGTGAAAAAGCATCATTGGCAACAAAGCATAGTTGGCGACTTTAGTACGTGGCTCCAGGAACCCCGGTTACCTCAAGAGAGAGAGAGAGAATGAAGCTTCTTTATTACATCGCTCATATATA